ATAGCAAATTCTCTACAATTAGGCACAAAATTGACATACTTCACCATCAATTGGCAAACTAGAAGTTGACAAAGACAAGGAAACATAATTTTGTTAAATACTGTTATTACATTACATATGTCTATCTTTACATAAAACCAGTCTACTCTATATTCCAGAACTTGAAATATGTAAACCTCAATTGACTGATTGAGCAGTAACGTTCCGATTACTCCCAAAAGTCCGAATATGAACCCAATTACCAAACTAATGTAATATCCTTCAGTGATTAGCTTGTCTTCCTCAGTTTTTTCTTACTACTTGCGGTATCTTGATTTTTTGCTCACTAATTTTAGTTTCTTTTGAACAGGAATAACATATAGCAAAAGGGGTAAGTGACGTAGAGCAGAGACACAATTTCTTTGTTGATTGCTCTAGAGAATCGAGTTGGGAAGAAGTTGCAGGAGAAAACCTTGAGTTCGAGAGCATAACTCGAGTGGTTCGGCAACTTGTTGAGAGTATGAAGAAAGTTACAGCTGAAGCCATAGTTGGTGATATATGGTCAAGCATAATGAGTCAATGTGTAACATACTAAAAACCAATCTCCAACATGCAATGATCCCAGAAATTTACCTCGGCTTACCAGGTAGATCGGGCAAGCCTAAATCAGTCCAAAATAGTTTTTTTTGGGAAAATTATGAGCTGAATTTCTGGTGCTGCTATTAAGGGCTGGCACATTGATGTTGTTAATAAACATGGCGCTATTATATCACAATCAATTTTCGGATGATCAAAACATGAAAATCTAACCACTTCACAGGTAGTTTCTAGAATTTAAAACCAATAACATAGAAATAGAACTAAAGAAATAAACTAGAACTTCCAAGGCAAAAGAGCTCTCAAATACAATACAAGATTGTCCAATACAATAAAAGAGGCGTCCAGTAGAACAAAGTGTGTCCAACATGAGTTCTGAGCAGTACTCAATACATTTCAGATTGAAAGGAAACAAAAATATAAAAAAAATCAATCTCATCCAACAGATGTTAAGAGTCAGATCTGTCGAACATAGATATATAAACCCCACTTGCTAAATTATGAAGGGGCACATTTACTAGAAGTTGAGTTTGCATACACCAAGACCCTGTCTCTTGAACCAAAAATCACCTAGCTTCTTGTCTAGCCTGGCCATTACTCCCTTCTCCATGAACACATCAAATGTTTCCTACAATTAGCCAACAAAAAATATTAACAACGACAAGAGCAATAAACTAAAAAATGAAAAGATTAGCAGTAGTACTATATTTTTTAGCCTTCACTTGCACTTGTGAAACCATCACTACTGTCAGTGTCTTGTAGTTGTATATTTTTGTCTACAACATGCCTTTCAGAATCTACATAAAAGATCCTAGATTCAGCCACATCCACTTCTTCAGCTCTAATATCAGTACGGACTAAATTTTGGCTTTCAAATTCTGAATATATTCGAATAGGTTTCTGGGTCGATGGTTGTTGATCCTCTTGGAATGCAAGTTCCATCCTTATGCGATTATCAACTTCATTATGATCATCCAAAACTTGAACAAAAAGAAACAATATGTATTACAACTCATTTTACAAAATACTTTTTTGGGTTAATTGAGACATTAGTTACAACACTTACATATTCCTTTAACCAACACGAAAAACGTTCTTCCCGTAAACCATCAAATTGTCCATCATACATTTGAGGATGCAACATTCTCATATGTTTATCAAACACCCTACATGTGCCATGATAAATTGTAAATGCATCTAAGCAAGCATACAGTTCAATATATATACATATAATAAATGTAATTATAACAACTTACGCGATAAAAAGAGTTACTTCCTCACAATTGAAGAGCACATACGTTGATGCTGCTCTGAATTCCTCATTCGTCATTAATCTGCTATTATGACGTTGCATGCCAAAGGGTCTTCCAAGGTAGGTAAAAATTGATAGTCTCCCTTGGGAATCAATATGACCTCCATCATCGTTCCTCAACACACGATTCAATCTTGTTTGAATAATTTGATCAAAATATAGAGAGCAAAAAGTTGACATTTCCTCTACTAAGTATGCCTCTACAATAGATGCCTCAACATGAGCCCAATTTTTCACTTCCTTTTTTAAGTGGTGTATGAACCTGTGATACACGAAATGAATATCATTTAGACTACAAAAGGTGAATAAATATACAAGCATGTGTTACCTCTCAAAAGGATATATCCAACGGTATTGCATAGGACCGCCAACCTTTGCTTCATAAGCTAAGTGAACAGATAAATGCTCAATTGAATCAAAAAAGCCTAATTGAAAAATCTTTTCAAGCTTGCATAATGTCACAACAATGTTTTGCTCCAATTGCTCCATATCTTTTATCCTCAAAACAGGAGAACATATATCCCTAAAAAAATGGCTAAGTTCAATTAAAGCTTCCCAAATTGGTTTGGGCAACAATTCTTTAAATGCAATCGACAGCAATCTTTGCATAAAAATATGGCAATCGTGGCTCTTCATTCCATAGAACTCACAATCACCTTTAACACAATGTGAAATATTTGATGCATAACCGTCAGGCATTCTTAAATTCCTAATCCAATTGCATAATTCTTGTTTTTGTACATTAGTCAAGCTGTAGGAGGCCTTTGGCATGAATAGTTTCCCCTGTTACCTTCATATATATGAAGCTCTAGATGATTGCAATAGAGCTCCAAATCCTTCTTAGCCTTAAAGTTGTCTTTACTTTTCCTTTTATATCCATAATTGTGTTAAATATATTTTCGAATACATTCTTTTCAATGTACATTACATCTAAATTGTGCCTTATGAGATTTTTATCCCAATAAGGCAACTCCTAGAAAGTGCTTCTCCTCATCCAATTATGGCTATGACCAAAACCTTTGATTTCTTCTCTTATAAGCTTTGCCACTTGCAATGTGTGGGAGGTTTTCCACTATACTTTACAGCTCTTTACCAGTTAGCTTATGTTGTGCCATATTCTTCTCAACTCTATCTTTGTAAAACTTGTCTCTTTGTTTTCTAAATGCATGGTCGGGTGGTAGGAATTGACGATGACAATAAAGAAAAGATGTTTTTTCTCCATTTTTAAGCTCGAAAGACTTAGTTCAACCCATATCCCGAAAAATAACTAATATTCCATATCAATGTAGCTTTCAACTGAAAATTCTACTTCGTTTGTATGTTGTTTGCGAAATTATTTTCTTTCGATTTTAAACTACCGCAAGTGTACGGTTCGTTAACAAGTAATAAAGTGGATTCAATGGGTCCGAATGTCGTCCCACAAAGATTGATTAGTTCAAATTTTATCTAACATAACCTTAACCGAAACTGGATTGCCAAAGTGGATGTGAACCTAAGTAAAACACTAATTTCAAAAAGAAACCCTAATTACGCAAATTTAATGAGTGAATTGAAATTAAAACTCAAAACAATATTTTAACACTCTAGAATAAAATTAAATGTTGAGAATACACGTTGTTATAATCAATAGAAATTAAACACACTAGGATCACGATTTTCCATGCAATGATCACTTTAAACCCTAGTTTCTCAATATGACAACACACTTCAATTGTGACGAATCAATGTTCCTAAGTCTATCCAACACTCTCTCTCGAGATGCATCAAACCTATTTCTACATACCACCGGCCTATATTTCTATGACAAGAGCATATGTAAAAATGCATGCGGTTTTATGAACACTTAAAGATTCACGTAGGGCATAGCAGTATATTTCTATCCCCTATTGGACCCTACGATGATTTATATTATGTCAAATCTATTCCAATTCTCTCGAATGTAAGAATAAATCACCCAAATTCACACAATTACGAGCCCTTAATTGCGGAAACATTAATTGCATATAAATTATTCAAAATAATAAAAATGTGTCTTAATATCAAATTGCAAAACTAGGATATTAAAATTCAAATTACATGGTTCATCAATCTCCTAGCACATGAAAATCTAGCCTAGCATGATTAAAATAACAAAATACATCAGGTTTTGAGTAATAAGCATCACCGGATTATAAAAGCTTGAAGAAATCTTGAAATTCTAATAGCCAATCTTTGTTCTTGCGCTCCAAATCCTTTTCAAGAAGTGTTTTTCTGCCTCCCAATGCGTTCTGGTCATTTTGGACCTTTTTTGATATTTATATCCCGTGAATATTAGGTTACCAAAGGAGTTTTAATCGTATAAGGAAAGAAAATTTCGTATCAGAAAGACTACCATGCGACCACATGGTTTTAATTCGTGTGGCCGCATGGTTATTCCATGTTTTGATAAAAATTCCCTGCATTCATTCGTGCGGCTGCACGAGAGTTCTACCATGCGGTCGCATGGTAGACTCTAACTTCTATTCTCTTCAATTCAATCCCTTTACTTGAATCTTTCACTTCTAGGCCTCTTTTATTCACTCTTTCCATTCCATCATCCCAAGGCATCATCGATTGGCATTTGGTTCAACCAATTCCTTGATTTGTTCATCAGGTCAACTTTTGGGTAATTGCACCTTGGTCTTTGAACTTTTACTTTGTGTCATTTTAGTCCTTTTTCGCATCTTTTCTCATGAATTTCACCATGGTCATCGGTGTTCCCTACAATTCACAAATGCAACGAAATTAAGTCATAATTCAATCATTTTGCTCGTAATTAAGTCATGTGTGTGACTTAAATAAGTGTGCAAAAACACACTTATCAAACCCCTCAAACTTGAACTATTGTTTGTCCTCAAACAAGATAGTGACTTAATTTTGAGCAAACATGGCTTAATACCCTGCTGCGGCTTAGGATTGGACTAAGCATTCGACTTTATGAAAAATTATCAATGCAAAAATGACATCAACCTTCACCTGTTAAATGCGTACTTGACGAGTGTGTGTGAATTCATGCCAACATATTAGGTTCATGATGGATTTGAGTCCTGACCCTGAGTGGTCAATTGTATCCTTACTTGCTCGAGAGATACACAACCCCCTAAACTTATTCTTTTCACGCAATTATCCCAGGGCTGTGTTTTAAAATTAGGAATTTGCATAGCTATAGTCCTCACCCTCTCGTAGTTTGGATTAATCTCACTATCACAAGTTTACATTTCAACAAGTGAAGGCTCTCCTAAGTTTGATTGCTTCGACACTCAAGATTAAACTAGGTTACTTGCCTCGCCTCAAAGGTATAGTTTCTTTAACCAAATGTCCAAGGGCTTTTCTTCATGTTATTGTCTCTCTTTTGTTTTTCTCTCTTTTTTCTAATTTTTCTGATTTTATTATTATTATCATCATCATCATCATCATCATCATCATCTTCTCATTTGCTTTCTATATAACCCATGTAACGAGTTTTAGGCCGGTGACTCTCAAACCGATTGGCTTTAGGGCACCAGGTTTTAAACCTTTACAGGCTTATTCACTCGAGTTATAAAGGCTCGATCAGATGATTTTTTATTAACCTCTTTCCCCCTTACTTTCTATATGACCCTTTTAGCGAGCTTTAGGCCGGTGACTCCCAAGCCAGTTGACCTTAGGGCACCAGATTTTGAAATATCCTTACATGCTTACTTGCTCCAGTCATAAAGGCATGAAAAGAAGTGTATTGTTCTCACAAATTTATTTTATGCCCTTATTGTTCTAGACATATTGTTTCCAAAACCAACCCCTAATTTACGATTTTTACCTAATCTTCACCTCACCGGTCTAGGCAATTCACACAATAAAATTCATGCACGGAGCCTCCACTCATCTCAATGCTTCCCTATAATAGCTCAACCATCACCAAACTGTCTTAAGGTAGTTTACGGTTTAATTTAATAGAAGGTTATCATTCTTTTCCTATTTTGTGCTCAAACTACTTTCATTCACCTAACATGTAAAGCATGAATAGTGTGCATAGATAATGTCAAGTGTTGCATCAACAAGTATTAGTTAGCCTAATTGCACCAGATCCAAAGTTTTTACAGTTTAAACTAGTCCAATTATAAGATCATAGCTTGCAAGGCTATCAAGCTCACACAAGCATGCATGAAAAGAATTAAAACAAAACTGAATAAAATACATAGAATTTTTTTTAAAATTTTTTCACTCATCATGCACACACTGTGGAATACAAATATCGATGAACACAGATACTTAGTTAAGATTATGTCACCCCCGAAACTTAGTTAATACATTGTCCTCAATGTAAAATTAACAGAAGATTAAAGACAGAATTTTACGGACAACAAGAAAAAGGAAATTCAAAATGTGGTAAATAGTACTTCTCCTGTATCAAAATGGATGAGGTGGCGGGAAACTAGGTCCTGATGTACCATCACCTAGCGGTGAAAGGTGTCGTCCAAGGAGCTGCCGCATCAAGGTAGACTGCTGTGTCTGCTGGGCCTGGATAGTTCTCATGGTCTCCCAAGTTTCATTTACCCTCATTTGGATACCGTCCACTCGACCCACATACATGTTCAGCCAGCCATTCATGGTATTAACCTCCCGTCACATGACTGTAGCATGATTTCTAGCATCTCTGATGTAGTTCAACGCAAGGTGATTGTCTCTTTGTAAACTTCTCAATTCAGTCCTCATGTTGCCAAAATCCTAAAAGAAATTGTGGAGGTCTCGGCTGATGCCCGTGGTGGTGGAGAATATCTGTCTCAGCAACTGATTGTCCACGTCAGCTTATGGTGCTGGAGCCCTTGGGTGTTCCTAATATGTAGAGATTGGGCCTTGTTCTGCCTGTTGTCAACGGAGCTCATTTTCTTGTTCTTCCCTGTGTTTAACCCGAGCCCTTGTTTGAGCTTCAAATGTAGTTCGTGTGATCATGGGGCTGGATTTTTCAAGTAACTCCTGAAGTAGGAGTGCAACACCTGCAGCCCTACATATGCCACTAATGAGGCTCGAGAGTATTAAAGTGGAGCGACGATCTCTCCAAGTTCCCAATGAGTGTAGTTGATCGTATATATGAGTAGCGAGATCTATCTTGCTTCCTTGAGCCAAGTGGTAGATGTACCCTGCTGTCTGATTTGGAAATGTAGTCCTGTGTGATATGGGCTCGATATTGTGGTACTTAAAGAACCATAGAATGGCTATGGAAGGGGTAAGCTCAATCTGATGCCACTCGGTAGTTTCGAGAGGCCATACATTCTCTCGCCCCATTAAAACCTCAGCCACTTCATTCCAGTGAAAGTCAATTGGAAGAGGGACCACATTCTCCACGGTAAGCTGGTAGTAATCATGAATGACCTTGGGAGAGAACATAATCCACTTCTCCCGCACCCAAGTCTGATGGAAATGCTCAGAGCCTAGCGTGTCAATGTCACTGTTGAAGTTGACGAAGAACTCTCGACATAGAGTCTCATAGATTAGATGTGGTCACTCCACCAACTTTTGCCACCCACAGATCTGAACTAAGTTGACCAACTCAAAACCCGGGAAGTCATCAAGCTTAACGGGTCTTTCAGCATGTAAAGTCCAATGGCGTACGATATTCTCATATCGTGCCGCGGTATTTGCAGTTAAGAATAGCCGAACCTCCCCCGCAAGCTCTCGAGTACGGGCTTTCCCAGTGGAGGAGCTTGCTTTTTCTTTCCCGTGCAAAACTCTTTTAGGAGGCATCTTGCAAAGTTTGTAAGATTACACTCATTAAGTTTGATGTGGAAAGAATAGGCATGAAGTGAGAAAATAAAATATTCATTGCACACTCCCCCAAACTTTCCTAGACGCATGTATAACACCATGGTATGCACTAGTCAAGATATGATGTTCAATTTAATTCAAGTATTCCGCCAATATGAAAAATGGAGAAAACTTGGCGTAAATATGCAATTTTTCAGAAATTGGATTCATGATCGAGTGCGCACTTTTGACCCTTAACATCATCGAGAATTATCAAAATTTTCCCGGGCAATCTCCGGGCATATCAAAGTATTCATTGAAGTGTAGCACATACTTAAATTTCAACCCAATTAGATGTCATTTGGTGTGTCAAGTGAAGATGCAAAGTAGGAGATGGAGGGTGCCGTGATGTGCGATGACCTAATCATGTGCCTATGTGTTGCAATGTGAAAGTGGGTGTTTCCTAAGTTAATTCATGTGGGAATTTGTTAAAATATATTTGGTGCCATGTTTGTGAATCATTATATATGCAAAAAGAACCTAATTGTACACAAATGGTTATTGTGGCATTTCATCAAACACTTGGTGTGCATTATGTGAAAGTAGTCCTAAGGTAGTGAAATTAATGTCCAATTCATCCCAAAAGTCACACAACACAATCACAACAAATCCATCCCTATATGAACTAGCCCATTTTCCCTCAATTCATGAAAAAACGAATTCCAAGATGAATTACTCAAAAAGAGAATGCCAAGAGAAATGTGAGAAGTAATACCTTACCTTGAAGTGGATGGCTTGATGTACGGGGTGAATATTGTGGAGTACAAACGTGATTTGATGGGAAGAATTGATGGGTGAAATTATCCTAAGAATGCGTGAGAGATTGAGGGAAGAAAGGAGAGAAGAAAAAAAATGAGGAAGGAAGGAACCGGGTGTAATTAAATAAAACTACACCCGATTCTGCCATGCGACTGCATGACTTTGTTGCCTACGGCCGCATGGTTCAAGTGGCATTGGCCACTTGAAACTCGGTTGCTATGTGTGCGGTCGCACCATGTGACCGCATTATCTAAATTTTTTTTATTCCCCCCAAAAACACAAGTTTGATTAAATTTCACAATCACGCATTTACATTTGAATTTTTTTTTTTGAGAATAAACGTTTGACTCGAAATGCATGAACATTACACCCAATCACCCAAAAATAACTCCAATCAACCCGAACGTGTGTGTGATGCTTAGGGACTCATGTGGATATTGTTTGGACTCTTTTAACACGTATGAATGATCAATGACCTAAATTAAAAAATTTGAAAAATGAAATTGAAAGATTCCTACTACGATGCAAAAGTAAATTAACTTAAAAGGATACAGAGGGTTGCCTCCCACCCAGCGCTAAGTTATAGTCGATAGCTCGACTTTTCTGCAACTACTTTACTTTGGGGTCCCGACTTGAACGGTGGACTTTTGGTTGGAGAAGTCACCGCCCTAATAGTGCTTCAGCCTTTGCCCACCCCAGTAGTGCTTCAGCCTTTGCCCATTAACAGTGAAGGTACCTTTAGTCTCATGACTGACTTGTATAACTCCGTATGGTAAGACTTTCGTGACAGTGTACAAACCCGACCACCATGACCGTAGTTTTCCTGTGAACTGCTTGAGTCTCGAGTTATACAATAGTACTTGTTGCCCCACTTCAAATACTCGTCTTTGAATGTGCATGTCATGCCACTTCTTGGTTCGTTCCATGTAGAGTTTTGAATTTTCATAAGCTTCCATTCTAAATTCGTCTAACTCATTCAGTTGCAGTAGATGTTTTTCCCCGGCGGCGCTCAAGTCCATATTTAACTATTTTATAGCCCAATATGCCCGGTGCTCCATTTCTAATGGCAGATGGCACGCTTTATCAAAATTTAGGCGGTATGGAGACATGCCTATCGGTGTCTTGAATGCTGTCTTGTAAGCCCATAATGCATCGTCTAACTTTTTAGACCAGTCCTTTCTAGATGAGTTCACTGTGACTTCAAGTATTCTCTTCAACTGCCGATTAGATACTTCAACTTGCCCGCTAGTTTGTGGATGATATGGAGTAGCGACACGGTGTTTAACGCCATATTTATTCAACAGCTGCTCAAACTGGCGATTACAGAAGTGTTTGCCCCCGTCACTGATTATAGCTCGCGGTGTACCATATCGGGTGAAAATATATTTCTTTAAGAACCTAATTACTACCTTTGAATCATTTGTTGGCAGTGCAACTGCTTCCACCCATTTTGATACGTAATCCACTGCTACAAGATGTACTGATTTGAGAATGACGGGGGGAAGGGTCCCATGAAGTCAATTTCCCAAACATCGAATATTTCCACCTCCAAAATATTATTCAGTGGCATTTCATTCCTCCTCGAGATGTTCCCAGTGCGTTGACATCGGTCACACCTTTTGGCAAACTCAAAAGTGTCTCTAAACAGTGTAGGCTAGTAGAACCTTGATTGAAGAATCTTTGCAGCTGTTTTCGAAGCCCCAAAGTGTCCTGCATATGCAGATGAGTGGCAGTGCTCGAGAATCTCATGTATTTTTTCCTTAGGTATGCATTTCCTTATTATCTGATCAGCCCCTCGCCTATAGAGGATTGGATCCTCCCAAAAATAATACTTCAATTCCGCGAAGAACTTTTTCCTCTAATGACTTGAGTAGTCCGGCGGTGGGATGGAACTGGCCAAGTAATTGACAATATCTGCGTACCAAGGTGCTTTATCTATTCTTAAAATCTGCTCATCTGGGAAGATCTCATTTATATCTACTAAATCTTCCGTCTCCCAGGCTCTAATCGGGATAGGTGATCTGTTACTATATTCTCACTGTCCCTCTTGTCTCGTATCTCGATATCAAATTCTTGTAGCAATAGCACCCAACGAATTAATCTCAGCTTTGCTTCCTTCTTTGTGAGCAGATACTTCAATGCAGCATGATCAGTGTAGACGATGACTTTAGACTCGACAAGGTATGACCTGAATTTGTCGAATGCATATACCACAGCTAATAGCTCCTTTTCAGTGGTGGCATAATTGATTTGCGCATCATTTAGAGTCCTACTTGCTTAGTAGATCACATGAAAAATCTTGTTCCTTCGCTGTCCTAATACTACACCTATGGTGTGATCACTTGCATCACACATCAATTCAAAAGGCAGTTCCCAGTCTAGTGTCACAATTACTAGTGCTGTCGTAAGCTTCTCCTTTAAAGTGTTGAATGCTGTGAGGCATTTCTCATTAAACTCAAAGGGTACATCTTTCATTAGCAGATTGCACAACGGTTTAGTGACCTTCGAGAAATCTTTTATAAATCTCCTGTAGAACCCCGCATGCCCTAAAAAACTACTAACTTCTTTAATTGATGTAGGCAATGGTAACTTCTCAATAACTTGAATTTTTGCCTTGTCCATCTCAATTCCTTTTGTCGAGATCCGATGCCCGAGTACAATGCTTCCTGCACCATAAAGTAGCATTTCTCCCAATTTAAAACCAGGTTAGTCTCCTTGTATCTCTGTAAGACCAAATTCAGGTGCTCTAGACATTCATCAAATGACGATCCAAACACTGAGTAGTCGTCCATGAAAACTTCAATAAACCTTTCAATCATATCGGAGAATATTGCCATCATACATCTCTGAAATGTGGCTGGAGCGTTGCAAAGACCAAAAGGCATCCTATGATGGGCAAAAGTACCATAGGGACAGGTGAAAGTGGTCTTCTCCTAATCTTCTGGTGCGACAGGTATCCGATTATAGCCCGAGTATCCATCAAGGAAGCAGTAGTGTGAATGTCCAGCCAATCTCTCTAACATCCGATCAATAAATGGGAGGGAGAAATGATCCTTTCGTGTAGATGCATTGAATTTGTGATAGTCGATGTAAACTCTCCATCCCGTAATTGTTCTGGAAGGAATTAATTCATTCTTCTCATTTTTCACCACTGTGGGTACCACTTGAATTGGACTGATCCATGCACTATCTGAAATTGAGTAGATAATTCCTGCATCCAGTAATTTCAGTATCTCTGCCCTGACCACTTCCTTCTTGTTCGAATTTAATCTTCTCTGACCCTCTATACTTGGCTTGCAGTTTTCCTCCATTAGAATTTTATGCATACACAAAGAATGGCTAATTCCTTTAATGTCAACTATTATCCACCCAATCGCCGTCTTGTTCTCTCTGAGTACCCTAAGCAGTTTTTCTTCCTCCACCTCACTGACTGTGTTTGAAATGATTACTGAAAGTGTATCTGACTTCCCCAAATTTGCATATCTGAGATGTGGCGGTAGTTGCTTGAGTTCTAAAACTGGCGACTGCTGGATAGAAGGCAGTGGCTTCGTATTTTCTGTCCCCAGTTCCTCGAAGTGCCGTTTTCGGGTGTATGGTAGGTTGGTCTCCAAAAATCGTGCACATGTTTCAACTTCAAGAAAACTTGAGTGAACTGATTGGGATTGTGCAATTCATGCCTCATATACATCAGATGGGCCGTGAAGTAGGAATGTTTCCTGTACTGCCTTGTCAATAATGTCAACTTGATAACAGCTATCTAATTCTGCTGGCAGTTTCATTGCCTTGAATACATCGAACGATATCTACTTCTCTCCCAATCTTAAAATCAACTGCCCCCTTTGAACGTCAATTAACGCCCTTCCTGTGGTCAGGAATGGTCTGCCAAGTATCAATGGGACATCCTTGTCTTCTTTCATGTCCAAGATAAGAAAATCTGCTGGGAATATAAAATTTTCGACCTTGATGAGCACGTCTTCAATTATCCTTCTGGGGTGTGTCAGTGATCTGTCTGCTACCTGAAGTGTATGGAAAAAGCCTTAATATAATAGCGTCATCCGAAATCCCTTGGTATCTCAAATGTTGACACATATCCAAAAATTGAGATATGCGTGTGTGTGGATTCTCCTCGGCTTTGCCATAAAATTGGTGTCCATTTTGAAATAGCTGTATCACATTGGTCTTCAATTGAAAATTAGGCTGCCCAAACGGTGGATACACAATGCTGGTTTGGCTTTGAATAACTTGAGGAGTCAAGAAATCCCCCAGAATTTCATTTCCTTCGTCCATTGCCTCTCCTTCGTTAGCTTGAATAATAGGATTATTTAATTCGTTGGTCATTTGTACTTGTGCTTCACGGTCATCTCTTTGTCGTCGATAAAAGGTGCGCTCGATTTCAGGATCAGCTGGAATCAATTCTCCTCCAGGCAATCGTGACATGCAAATCTGAGAATTAAAACCAGTACAAGCACTGAGATTCAAACAATTTAAATAACTAAAACACAAATAAAGGATAATAACCTAAAAAAAAATAAAAAAAAATTATACTAGCAAAATAAAAATTGAAGTTGAATTAGTGCCTCGAGAAATAAAATTAAACTAAACTCAATCCCCGACAACGACGCCAAAAACTTGTTCGCGAAATTATTTTCTTTCAATTTTAAACTACCGCAAGTGTACGGTTCGTTAACAAGTAATAAAGTGGATTCAATGAGTCCGAATATCGTCCCACAGAGATTGATTAGTTCAAATTTTATCTAACGTAGCCTTAACCGAAACTGGATTGTCAAAGTGGATGTGAACCTAAGTAAAACCCTAATTTTAAAAAGAAACCCTAATTACGCAAATTTAATGAGTGAATTGAAATTAAAACTCAAAATAATATTTTAACACTCTAGAATAAAACTAAATGTTGAGAATGCACGTTGTTATAATCATTAGAAATTAAACACACTAGGATCACGATTTCCCATGCAATTATCACTTTAAACCCTAGTTTCACAATATGACAACACACTTTAATTGTGACGAATCAATGTTCCTAAGTCTATCCAACACTCTCTCTCGAGATGCATCAAACCTATTTCTACATGCCACCGGCCTATATTTCTATGACAAGAGCATATATAAAAATGCATGCGATTTTATGAACACTTAAAAATTCACGTAGGGTATAGCGGTATATTTCTATCTCCTATCGGACCCTACGATGATTTATATAATGTTAAATATATTCCAATTCTCTCGAATGCAAGAATAAATCACCCAAATTCACACAATTACGAGCCCTTAGTTGATGAAACATTAATTGCATATAAATCATTCAAAACAATAAAAATGTGTCTTAATATCAAATTACAAAACTAGGATATTAAAATTCAAATTACATGGTTCATCGATCTCCTAGCACATGAAAATCTAGCATAGCATGATTAAAATAACAAAATACATCAAGTTTTGAGTAATAAGCATCACCGGATTATAAAAACTTGAAGAAATCTTGAAATTCTAATAGCCAATTTTCATTCTTGCGCTCCAAATCCTCTTCAAGAAGTGTTTTTCTGCCCCCCCCCCCAATGCGTTCTGGTCATTTTTGGACCATTTTTGATATTTATATCCTGTAAATATTAGGTTACCAAAGGAGTTTTAATCGTATAAGGAAAGAAAATTTCGTATCGGAAAGACTACCATGCAACCGCATGGTTTTAATCCGTGCGGCTGCATGGTTATTCCATGTTTTGATAAAAATTTCCTGCATTCATTCGTGCGACCGCACGAGAGCTTTACCATGTGGCTACATGGTAGACTCCGATTTCTATTCTCTTTAATTTACTTGAATCTTTCACTTCTAGGCCTCTTTTCTTCACTCTTTCCATTCCATCATCCCAAGGCATCATCAATTGGCATTTAGTTCAACCAATTCCTTGATTTGTTCATCGGGTCAACTTTTGGATAATTGCACCTTGGTCCTTGAACTTTCACTTTGTGTCATTTTAGTCCTTTTTTGCGTCTTTTCTCATGAATTTCACCATATTCATCGGTGTTCCCTACAATTCACAAATGTAACGAAATTAAGTCACAATTCAATCATTTTGCTCGTAATTAAGTCATGTTTGTAACCTAAATAAGTGTGCAAAAATACACTTATCATATGTCATACGTGTAAACACCTTTATCCCAAAGCATTTTTAGTTCATCAATGAGAGGACACAAAAAACCATCGAGGTTTTTCCCAGGATTCAAGAGTCTTAGGATAACCATACTAAAAAACAAGTTGTCTTGTTATAGCGAAAGATTATAGACAACAATGATTACTGGCCAACAAGTGTATTACACATTTGACATGCTAAAGGGGTTGAAACCATCCATACATAAACTGAGGCGCACACTACGTGGTTCAAGGAAAAATTGAGGAAAAGTTCTATCAAAGTACTTACATGCCTCACTATGTACGGGGTGTGACATTTCATTATCAGTGAATTGATTCTTCGAATGTCATAACATGTGCTCTACAGTTTGTCTTGACATATACAATTACTGAAGCCTAGAAGTTAGAGGTAGATATCGAAGTACCTTTTGAGGTATCCTATGTCCAGATCGAGACATCTTCTCTTTGTATCGTGGACTAAAACACGTAGGACTCTGAGTCATGCTCTCGATTTCTTTGTAGTACAACATGCAATCATTCACACAAGTATGGATCTTCATAATACCAAGGCCAAGACTGGATAACATTTTCTTTGTTTTATAGAACGTAGCTTCTAAGCGATCATCTTCTGGCATAATTTCTTTAATTATAGACAGCATACGATCATAACATGCTGTCGGCATATTAAACTCAGACTTCAGATTCAAGAGTCGTGCCATAATAGAAAGGTTTGTGTGCCTACTACAAACAGGCCATATAGGTTTGTTAGCTTCTTCCAATAGTGTAAAGAAATTTGCGGCATGTTGATTTGGGGTTTGTTCCTCATGACCACAAATATTAGGATTGATGTAATCATGGTACATTTCAGTGCCCATCACGTCTAACACCATTGCTCCATGGCTCTCAATGGTTGTAGCTTGTGCAGTTGAGGATTCAACCAAATTTGGACCATTGAAACTGAATGGTTTTCCTTGCGCGTTCCACTGTGTATAGCCCCTTGTAAATCCATTTTTGTAAAGATGAAATTTCACATCATCTCCTATGAGAAACCTTGTGTTTTTACATATAGAACATGGACATTTGATCATATCTCCATCTCTTGTTCGAGACATGGCAAATTCAATGAACTTTTCAACACCTCCAATGAATCTATCAGAAAGAAATCCATCATCTGACCTATTCAACATCCAACTACGGTCCGATGCCATAATGTTCAACAACAATTCATAGAATTATAATTGCATATTTTTCATGAATTATTACATGGTTCGAATATTAAACCTGCAAAATGAATCCAATTAACTCCCTTTCTAGAAATAAATGATTGAAATCAGTTTCATTTATTTAATCATTTAGACAACTAAACAAGCAGTTTAGCAACAAACAATTTCAATTCAAATTAAAAGTCAACTATTTCAATTCACAATTTCCATTAATAAGCGATGATCAATCATAATTACATTCTTAATTGATGATTACATATTTAACAACTTTCTAAGAAATCAAATTAACACTTTCCAGTCAAGAATCTAAATTATTTGAATCCTCAATAGTTCAACATAAAAACAGCAACAATTGATTCCAAATTGTACAAAGAAATGGATCATCTAAATGTATATATCATTAGCATAAAAACTTGATTCACTTACATGAGCAAACAACATAAGAAACCTTAGTAAATCTGGAACTAAACTAATAAAAATTTGTCACAGCTTAAGGCCAAACCCAAGCTTCACCTNTTTTCAACTGATAAAATGTAAAAAATATTAATAGTTGATTACAATTAATCAAAGTAAAATGACACCGTTTTGATAAGTTGTCATGACACCGTTTTTTAAGTTAAAATCAGTTAAGTCCATTGCCTTCTTCTTCCTCTATTTTTGGTTTTGCCGATTTCTTTCTTCCATTGTTGTTTCTTCTCCCTTTATTGGGTTGATCTAATTCTTCTTTTTCCCCAATTAGTACCCACATAAAATTTTTTCCAGATCATTAAATAGCAAAAACAAGAAATATTCAATAAAATGAAGTAATTCTCCTAAAAACCTTATCATCCATTATAAATGCAAACTCACTGATTCAAAGGTTGTATTTTGCCATTTACTAATTAAAAGTTCCAACATTGAAGGTTAGTCTCAAATATAAAAACCTGATCTTCCACTCCAACTACAACATAACCTAGTAATCCTAACTTAAAATCAAAATAGGATACTAATTATTAACGAAAATATGAATTAAAATGGATTATGATTTACCTAAATATAAGTTTGCCCAATGCCCAAGTTTAAGTCTTCTTCCCTCCAGCACAAAACTCGAAAAAATTTCAGCCAAATGCAATCTATTGAAATCCCCAATACAACTTTCTGGAGAAGAAAAAATTCTAAAAGAGTTAAATCTTATACAACCTACCACGGAGCAATGCCCAATATTTTGAGAGACAGAGACGAGATGAGCCTGGGAGAGACGTAAAGCGGGAGATGGGATGTGATGAGCCGTGGGTTCTCGCTGCCCTAATTTCATATTTGATTTTGATTTATTTTTAATTCTAACTCATTTACTAACAAAACAAGTTGTAGGAAATATTTTACATTTATTAGAAACAGATATGTAGTGCATTAAAAACCAAAAATCTATAGGTAAATTTCAACTAATGTTTCATTTTTTTTTAAAAATTTACAATCAACGATTAGTACGTCACAATCTTCGTTGGTAATTTTTTTATATTTATTTTTTTGTAAAAAATTTACCCATGGATTAAAAATGAAATTTTAATGACGGCTATATTTTATTAGTAATTCTATTGCTACCATACTTATTTTATAGTCAGAGATTTTTTATAACATTTCGTTGAAAAGTCATTGATAATCACTTACTAATAGCAACGGACGGCTTCCGTTGATAAAAAACTGTTTCTAAAGCCCCCATTTCTAGTGGTGGAAAATTACATATAATATTATAGAATATTTTAAAATTTATTTGGCTGAAAAGATGTAGTTTTCTATATGAAAGAACGTGATTTTTGACGTTATTTTTTTTTTATATAGATATGTCTCTTTAAATATAAAGACTATTCCAATAAATGTGTCTCTTTCATAGGTTGTCTTTTGAGACAAATTTTTTTCATCATCTATATATCGATCACATGTGTTTGTTTTCATTCATTCATTCACTTTATGATTATATTATCATATTAATGCATATTCACTTCAAAATTCTGAATTTATTTTGAATCAATTTCATATAAAGAGAATTCAAAATATAGTAGGTTCACCACGTTTTTTAATTTGGAGGTTGGAGTCAGGGTTTAAAATATTAGTAGGTTTGTCAAGTCTTGTAATTTAGAGGACTACTATTACAAGTTGGGGTTGTTATATCTTGGAAGACGAGTGTCGGGAGACCGTCAACACCCGTACGGGCAGTATCATCTAAAGGAGAAAGTGTCAAATTCTTGCCTCGATCAAATTCATATTCATACATTTCTCGTTCTACTTTATGTATTCGATTTCGGTAAGTCAAATATTTATTTGGTTTTTATGTACATAAAAAGTATGTTACTTGAATATATTTTATGTAGTCAATTTTTTCCAAGAGTTACAAACTAAAGAACCAAGATTACAATTATTGAGAAGTTTAATTGAGTAAAGCTAGAAAAATCAAAATTCGTAGAGAGTTGTAACGTAGAGTTAACATTTTCATAAGCTCCCTTTCCTCAACACTTTCAAGTATTTCCTATATTGCTTTAGTGCTTTTTAATTATGGTGATAATGCACCAATCGAGACATTATAACCAAGCTCAGTGTCAATATAGGAATCAGAGTTAAGGAGCTAAGTACCACGAGAACTTGAAAAGCTCAAGTCCATGTTAGTTGGTATCAGAGCCTAATTGACCTAATAAGAGGAGTTGGCATCAAGAATGTGTTAGACAACTTTTCTAGTATATTTCAACTAAAATTACGAAATCAAATCGGATTCAATAAGAAAGTCTGGTTATTTATGTTCCATGGAAGGACTTTCCACTGATTCTTGTGCATTATTACAAGAATATTAGAATGGCCGTCTAGTTTGCATTTAAGGGATCAAACTTCGTCATTACAAGTTCGAAAATTATATATATATATTTTGCAATGTTGATGGTTTTGCAATGAAATATTTCTCTGAACTGTGATTTTTTCATTATGAGATTAAGCTCCCATTTGGCTCTCTTTTTCTTTGAATTTTTTTTCTCACTCTTATTTTCAACCACATAATCTTTCATTAAATAATATTACGCATAAATTGAAAATTTTTCCTTCTTTTTCAACCACACAATCTTTTAAAAAAAAAAACTATTTCAAACATTAAAAATTGAAAGAAAGCGGGCCAAAAGGAGGCTAAGAGGATAGAACTCCTTCTTTTTCCAACCACACAATCTTTTAAAAAAAAAAACTATTTCAAACATTAAAAATTGAAAGAAAGCGGGCCAAAAGGAGGCTAAGAGGATAGAACTTAATTTAAAAATGGCTATTGGAGAAAAAATTGATGTAAGTACATATATAAAACTTAGTTTTAAATTGACAGTGTATTGTTTTTAAGTGGCTATAATTTTTCAATGAAAAATTGTAAACTTTTAGAAAATTCATGGAATTTTTAAAGAATGAATTAAAAAATAAATTGGGGATTGCTCAAATTGTGAACAATATGTGATCAACAAAGCATCAGAAAAACATTGAAATTTGTAACAAACTTGGGAAAAAGTTGTAATGTAAATAAATATAAATAAAACATGGAATGAATCTTGTTTCTATTGGTTTATGTAGTATGGTTATTAAAAATTTAAACCCTCAGTTTCATGAAACTGTGCTAAAATATTGTGTGCAGACTACATTTCTACTTGCTGAAAATACTATTATGGATTTTTCAAAAGTAACTATATGAAATAGTAAATGATTGCTAAATTTCGCAAATGTACGACATCATAGCTAAGTGATAAATAATGAGTAAGATATCATTCTCACAAGAAGTACATATTTAATTTAGTTTTCAATTAACACCAACTTTAATCAAATATCAACATTAGTTGAGATTTATGTTTTAGATTAATAATTTTTGTAATTACTCTAACTAATCTAATTAATTAATTGGAAACCTTTTTGAAACTCTAAGTAATTGAACAAATACTAGGACTTTGAATCCATTCACATCTATCAATTTTAATAACAATTCAATTTATAGACAAGACATTCAAACACGAAGATTAATTAATGTTCCTAATTCATTTAATAATCTCTTTCAAGTAAAATTAAATATATCCTTACATATGACCTTATAGGTCCACGCAAGATGCAAACATGCAAAGATGCATTAAATTACAAGAACACCAAAAATATCATACAAAGCATAGCGATATATCTCAATTTCTTATTGTACTTTACAATAATTGTTATTACGTGTCATATTTCTATTCATTCACTCTAATATCAATAGAAATCACTAGAAAATTCAACTAGTAATCAATTAATTAAAAATAATTTAGTACCTAACAACCATTCAAAATCAAATATATATTTTTTTATTAAAATTTTTAAGTAGATATCAAAATTTCAAAAGTATGGTTCAACGTTATCATAACATCTACACAATTAGTCAAGCATCAAATTGATTACAAAAATACAAAATAACTAATACATCATCACGCGGTATGAACAATTGGAAAGAAGATGAAAGAAAATCTAGAATCTCTTCAATGACCACTTGATCAATCTCTTATTCTTATTCTTTTTCTTCTTCAATTCAAGAAATAGATGCATGGAAGTTGGTTTAGATGTATTTTGTATCAAGCTTCTTTAAAGCTTTGAAAGAATATGTAGAATTTAAGACTTAAAGAAAGATATTATTTTATTTACGAAATAGATTTTACTCACTTTGATTATATGGAAACACTCTGCACTAAAACACTATACTGCCTCACTATCTCTCTCTTTCCTATTTTTTCTTTTTATTCTCACTCTGCTCACACACATTTCACCAACCATGCACCATCCCCTATTTATAGAGGTACAAGTTGGTGGTGACAGTTCTAGATCCCTCTAGCTTTAGTAATAATATAATATTACTAATGGCTCTTAGAATCTTCTAGCATATAAAATTGCATGTGGGTAAATTAAGAACAATGGTGCACTAACTAGAAAATTCTGGATCCTAAAAGTCGGTGTGATAAGGTTATCCACGTATACTAGCACTATTGTTAATTTTCCTTTTTGTGCTTTGACGAATAAGCTCGAGGCTGCTAGTGTTAACGAGTAACCACTTTGAACTAAAAATTCGGCTATTTTTTCATACCATGCTCGTGGTGCCTGCTTTAACCCATAGAGAACTTTCTTTAGCTTGCAAATATATCCTGGTTTTCCTTTATTTTTGAATCCATTTGGTTGCTCCATGTATATTTCTCGATCAAGTTTTCCATAGAGAAACGCATTTTTCACATCCATTTGCCACAGATTCCAAGACTTGCTTACTGCTAAAGCTATAAGTATTCATACTGTAGCAATCTTTGCTAATGGACTAAATGTCTCATCATAGTCTAGACCATATTGCTGAGAAAATCCACGAACTACTAGTTGAGCTTTGTATCTTTCAATTGATCTATCTGGACGTTTCTTTACTTTATAGACCCATTTACAGGATGTAGGCTTTACTTCATCAGGCTTTGGCATCAAATCCCAAGTTCTATTTTGTCTTAGAGCCATGAACTATTCTTCCATTGCCTTTGTTCACTCTTTATGTTGGATCGCTTCTTCAAAAGTTTCTGGCTCTTTGACACTATCATCTTCTTCTACTATTGCATTAGCATACTTGGGGTTTGATTTTCTCTGTCTAGTTGATTTTCTCAACTGTGGTTGTGAGCTTTACCTAACCTCTTCTTGTTTTCTTGACCTTTTCTCTTCTGGTGTTGTCTAATGCTGTCTAATATATACATGTCCACCAAGGACTTTGTATTGCGCTAGTAGACTCATTCTTATCATTTGATTCTTATACATCTTATGTATTCTCAAGACTTGGTTGTACTTCTGTGATATCCTCTTGCAATTTGTCATTTATTTCCTTTGAATCTGGTAGCTCCACTTTCTGTGGTGTCCACCATGAAGATGCTTCATCAAACACCACAATCCTTGATGCGTAATAACGATCAGTTGTAGGGTTGCAGCATCCCATCCTTTTCTTTGACTGTCATATCTCACAAATATACACCCGAGTGTCTTCTTATCAAACTTGCTCCTTAAGTGATTAGGTACAAAACATAACATACACAGCTAAAGACATGAAAGGGCTTACTATTGGCTTCATTTTCCACAGTTTCTCAAATGGTGAAGTGAACCCCAACTTTAGTTGTGGTAGTCTGTTGGTCAAATTTGCTGATGTCTTTATACACTCAGCTCAAATTCTTTGTGGCACATTCTTTGTGTAACATACTTCGACATGTTTCTCCAAGGTGTCGATTCTTTCTTTCTACTAAACCATTTTATTGTGGCATATTTGGACATGTCAGTTGATGGTGTAT